TATATATCTATATAATATATCTATGTATATATGTATACACATACACACATATGTATATGTATGTATATGCAAGGATCAGGGCAACCCCCAAACTGAAGCCTCCCTGGGTTGGTGTTGTTCAGTTGTATCCAATTCTTCATGATCTTATTTGGGGTTTTCTTGGCAAAGATACTGGAGTGGTTTAGCTATTTCCTTCTCCAACTCATTTTACAGATGAGGAAACTGAGTTTAAGTTTACTTACTGAGTTTAAGTTTGTAGGGCTAAGTGACTTGCCTAAGGTCACACAGTTAGTAAGCATATGAGGCCAAATTTCCTAATTCCAGACCCTGCGTGCTATCCTAAGAGCCACCTAGCTGCCCCAGTGGTACCTTGTTCTCAGACGTACATCTTTGGTTACCAACAACCAAGGGCCTACGAGCACAAAGTGACAGTTTGAGTAGTTCTAGACACCTTAATTTCAACCTGGAACTGAAGAAACCAAGGAACCAAATCAATCAGGCCATCAGGGGTTCTTAACCTTGTTTGTGTCATGGACCCCTTTGGCAGTCTGATGGAGCATATGGGCTCCTTGACAGAATAATGATTTTAAATGAATAAAGTAAAATCCGTAGGATTACAAAGGAAATTGATTACACTGAAGTACAGATAACTAAATATATTTAAAAAACACAAACAAACAAGTTCTCTGTCCCCAGATTAAGAACTCCTAGACTAAAGGCATGAACTGGGCACCCTAGGAGTGAGACTTTTTGTTTATTTGTGCTGAATTCAACACCCCACCCACCTACCCCCACCCTAAATGGTGATACTTTTAGGCTGCTTGGGATAATGTAAGGGTCTGTCTGAGTTTGTCTGATAGTAGACCCGAGATTGAGACTGTGTTAGTATCACCACATTGGCCTGTGCTTTGTTTTCTGCCCACCCTCTTCTTTCTTATTTCAGGCCCATCTCCAGAATGCTCAGTCACTGGGCAGAGTCAAGAGGGGCTTACGTCACTGCCCTCTCCTATCACTCGGTCCAGTGGCAAACACAGCAAATTCATTGATTCACCCTTATGTGCAGAATCCACCCCCGTGGATTTCCATCTTAGAGGAAAGCTGTCACAGAGCTTGGCCTTTGGAAACAAAGATCCTGGACCGGCTGTGGTTCAGGGATCATAGAATTAGATTTAGAGCTAGAAGTTATCTTAGAGGTCACTTAGTCCAAACCCCTCATTTTACAGATGAGGCTCAGAGACCTGATGCAATTTACCCAGGGTTGCACAGTAGGTAGTAAAGCCACAATTCTGATCCAGGTCCTCTGACTCCTTATCTTGTGTTTCTTCCACAAATGAGTCTAGACACACAAGGGATAAATTGTGATCATCTTTTCCCTCTTATACTACTTCAGTCTTTCTCATGAACCTCCCTAATTGGATCTATTTTAGGATCTTACAGCTCTGAAGGGACAAATGAGTCAGGATCTCTTGATTCTGAATGATGATCCCAAATAGTCATGCCTTACAGATTTGGGGAAGGGAGGAAAAGAAATGGCATTTGTGAATAGAATTCTCTGTTGGGGTTGGACAAGCTGTGGTTTGAGACAGCTTTGGCAAAGCAAGTAACTCTCTATGTGACCAAGGTCAAGTTGAATCACCTCTCTGGGCTTCAGTCCTACCCTCTCTAGAAAACTATAAAGGCTGATTAATGACCAAACTAGGCTTGGGTGGATGAGGAAGCTGCCATGAGTATAGCTAACAAGCTAAGAAGAGGGGCACAGAAGCAACCCCTTGCCTTAAAAGCCATCCCAGTCCCACAGGAAAAAAAAAAGACTTCAGGACTATTTTGGGAATCAGGTTTATAAGAAGAGGCTGAAGGAACTGGGATGCTTTAGGATGGAGGAAACAAGAATGTAGAGGAATAATATCTTTTTCCATAATGATTTATCAATCTCTATCTCTCCATCCATCCATCCATCCATCTGTCCATCCATCCATCCATCCATCCATCATCCATCCATCCATCCATCCATCATCCATCTATCTATTTATCTATCTATCTATCTATCTATCTATCTATCTATCTATCTATCTATCTGTCTGTCTATCTACCTATCTGAAGGGGCATTAGATAAAGGACTTCCTGCTTCAGCAAAGAGTCTGTCTAAAGAATCCAGAACATCCAGAATCTGAGAGTAGCTATATATTTTTCCCATCAGGAAAGATTCTTATTTTCATCCAGTATAAAGGAGTGAGATAGATTTCTAGTTTTTAGCTCCTCTGCTTCCTAGCCCCTTGTGCTATGTGCATGTATCTTTGAGGCCTTCCAAGGAATTGATATCACTAGGAATGGGAAAGGAGATTAAGGGAGAAAGGACCCTTTGGAAAACTATTATGTCAGCAAAATTTGTCTTCCAGGGCCCTACAGCCCTCTGTATTCTTTGCCCATCTCTACCTTTTTTTTTTACCACCTCTCCCCTGCTCAGCTTCGGGTAGAAAATCTTTTCATGCTCTTCCTACTCTCCTCACTATGAAAACCTGAATTTCTAGGACAGATTTGACAGTCACACTGAAATAGGAGTGACTATTAAAGCTTAATTTGTCACCTCTTGAATTTTTAACAGAAGAAAAAGCATGAAGCAAAAGGAATATCCATTTAATTAGAGAGTTTTTAACATTAGCAGGTCTCATAAGATAAATGTAGGGGTGGGGTAGGGACAAGGGAACTTCTGCAATACCCTTAATAATAGTAATGATATCTATACCTGCCTATCTATCAATCCATCTATCTATCTGTAGCTCTTTAATGTTTAAAAAAATGCTTTACATATATTCTCTCATTTGATCCTCATAACAACTCTGTGGCATAGGTGATATTATTATCCCCATTTTACAGATGAGGAAACTGAGGCTGAGAGAGGTTTTGTGACTTGCCTAGGGTCATACATATAGTAAGCATCTGATATAGGATTAAAACACAAATGTTCCTGACTCCAAGTCTAGTGATCTATTTACTACCCCCACACAACTGCCCTTAAAAACCTTTTTTAGTGTTTTTAAAAACCATATTTGTAGTTGGTGGGAAAGTTTGCCCTGCATGGGAAGGGGAGAGTTTGATTCTTCACCCCTTCCTACTTCCTGGGTCATCTGCTTGCAGATGATGTGGTTAAAAATGTGTAGACACCTGATGATTCTTCTCCAGGGTTAATGGAGATTGATTGGGCTACAAATTAGTCAGGCTCCTGGGGAAGGAAGGATAAAAGCATTTATTAACTGCCTACCAGCACCGTGCTAAGCACTTTACAAAAATAGGGTGTGTGTGTGCTACAAATAACTAACCCCTGAAGGCCACCAGCAGCTTGAGAGTTGAACAAAGAGTTTAGCTTTTCACCTCTCAGGGGAAGAGGATAATGTTTTCCTTCCTCACTGGGCTACCCTCCCTGCGCCTACCCATGAACCATGACATTTAATCATAAAATCCAGGTTACTTGCAGAGCAGATACCCTATTTAGCAGTTGGAAAGTCAGTTGGAAGGAGTTAGAGGCACAATTGAGCTTTTTTTTTTTTACAAGAAAAATGTACATTATTTTTACTTATTTCATGAGACCACAGAGAGCTTATAATTATAGTCTAACTTCCCATTTTACATAACTTTGTATATGTGTACAGAGAAGCACAAGATATCTCATCTGCAGAGTGAGGCCCAGTGCCTGTCCCCAGGTCACACAGCTAGTGAGTGGCAGAGTTGGAATGAAAACTCAGGTCCTCTGACTTCAAATCCAGTAAATATCTCTACTGGGCATATCCTGGATATTGCCTGGAGTCAGGAAAACCTGAGATCAAATTCAGCCTCAGACCCTTACCAGCTGTGTGACCCTGGGCAAGTCACTTAACCTTGTTAGCCTCAGTTTCTTCATCTGTAAAATAAGTTAGAGAAGGAAATGGCAAACCACTCTAGTATCTTGGCTAAGAAAATCCAAAATGGAGTCACAAAGAGCCTGACAAGTCTTCCTACTATACTATGCTGCTTTTTACTGGATCTCTAATCAAAGGTATTGACTGATGGTTAGGATTAGGGAAAAAATGGTTGGCTTGCATGTTGTATTAAAATTGCATCTTGTTCTGGTCCCCCTGACCACCCCACCCTGCTCCTTGTCTGTATAGTAATGAAGTTTATAAGTAACCAGCATTAAGTAGCAGTAGCAGGAGGTAAGATTACAAAGGGAAACCTAGCAGTCACATACAAACCACTGCAAAGATCAAAGGATTACAAATTGTATCATTTATTAACCAAAAATCATATCCTAGTAATATGTGCTGAATCAGGGAAAACCCTCTAGGATTTGCTATCAGAGCCTTTTGGTTATACGCTATATAAATCTCAGCTAAGTTCCAGACATCTACAATAAGACAAGTAAAATGCCAAACATTACTAATAACTTTGAGATGACATGGATAGGTTAACTTTAAAAGTTTTACCAACAACTTTGAGTTAATTTGGACATGTTACTGGACTAACTCCAAGGAAGCATGGATGAGAGATAGTCTGTTCCCCACCAAATCCTATAAAAATGAGACCTCAAACTACAGCCGCGCCCCCCCACCCTCCCCATCATTCTTCTATCTCCTTCTAGGTCCATGCAGTCAAGGGCACCCAACTCTAATCCATGGCTATATAAGTGATTATCTATGCCTTTCTCCCTCCCCATACTTTTCCCCATCCTAGTCTGCCTCTGCACCCCCTTTGTGGCTTGTCTGCGTGTTTTCTGAGCTGTTTGCCCCATACCCTCTGTGCCTCATCAAAGTGTGATTGCAGCCTCACTTCCTGCTGCCACTGTGGTTTTTCCCAGTGTGTGTGCCTGCCCCATTTCATAACTTCATAAGTTAATTAGCAATCCACATGTCCAGATTTTCTACCTGCAGATCCAGAGTACACACCCAGTTTTTCAAAATATCATCTCTCTTGTAATTAGCTATTTAGAAGATTCATTTCCAAGTAGACACTAGTAAACGCAAACCAACCTGGATGGGCGTATTGGATGAATTGATGTATAGGGCTCTTGTCCTTCTGGAAACAGCCTTCATTTAAAACCAATAAATTTGTACGGCAGTTTATTAGCTTCTGATTCATTAAATTCATCCTTTTGTGATTTCTAGGGCAGTATTTAATAGATCCCTGATTTCATCAGGACAAATCCTCCCTCCACAGGCACAGATCACCCCTTGATAGATGTATCTTCATGAGTTGCTGTGGCCAGAAACACTCATCACAAAGATAAAGCTATCACCTGGTGGCCTGCCTTCTGGTAATGAGCCTCTCTGAACTCAGTGAGGCTGGACAATTCCTCCCTGGGTCCAGGCTTGTGCAGTTCTTACTGGAGCCACTGGGATTTGAGCTCTGCTGTCATATCTTTCCAAACCAAGGTTACCACCACACCACAATGATCTGTTGGAGGACTTTATATAATTGGATGTACTGGCGCAATCACTTAAGAACAAATTGTTTCCTGAAAGAAAATGGAGAACATGATATCTTAATGACTACTAACCAAAATAGTAACTTTAAACTGAAGGAAACAAACAACAAAAAGCCCAAGGTTTTCTTTATAAACAAACCATTTTAAGTGAAAAAATTAAAGGAAATAGAATTTATAAAATTCTCAAGTTTACCCCCCAAAAAATTACATGTAGAGGTACTAAATCTCTAATAAGGAGGAAGTAATAGCAGGAACTTATATGTGGTAGAGACTTTATTAACAATAAATACAAAGGATATTTTTGGTGCAAAGAGTACAGAACTATTTCTCAATACCAAGATAATAAAAAGTTTCTTAATTTGTACAAAATGAGTCCCAGATCTTCACAACTGACACAGTTGATCTATGCTATGAATGCTTGAGATCTCACATATCTACTCTTCCCTCCCTCACTCCCAATACAAATTGACAGGGATACAGAAAAGGAACTCGCTAGAAACCTGAAACAGCTTCAAGGAGCAGAACCTCTGGAAATAAAAACTATGAACTCATGAGCTATCTCTAATAACATTTAAGTTGCAGAGAGAACTATACAGAAAGAAAAAGTATTGAGGCCCTATGTTTTGGAGTTGTGAGGTGCCTTGTTATATGTGTTGCCTACATGTTTACTTCACTACCATTATACTCTTTGGGTCCACACTGATGACATATTCTGTATATATTAATGAAAGAATACACTTCAGGTTTATGAGGGAATGTTCTATAGCTATTATTTTTTACTATGCCTTCTTTGTAGCTGCCTTTGCTTTGAGTCTGTTAATGGGAAATACACTGATGGGGGCTCATGAGCTGTAGTATTAGTACCCTCAGGGTACCTCCTAGAACCTGAAGTTGTGACTCCCTTAGGAATTCAACCTGCAAATCTGAGTGCTAAGTTGGGGGAGGGTAAATCACAAGGTTATAGGCATTTCATCTCTGACACCCAAGACTTTCTTCCATGCCTAAACATCCCTCTTTACTTTCACATGTTGTAATTCCTAGTTCCCTTCAAGATTCTCAAGTGCCAGCTCTAGAAAATTATTCATTGCCTTAGTCCTTTCCTCTCCCTACCTTTCCCTAATTACTTTGTATTTGTTTCAAATATACTTACTTGTATACATATTATTTTTCTGCAATAGAAGGCAAGCTCTCAAAGTATAAGACTTACCTTGTTTTCTTTGTATTTCCAGCTCCTAGCCCAGCAAGCTGCCTCATAATAGGCATTTAATAAATGCTTATTGAGTTGAACTGCCTTCTTTTTTCTAACAGTTAAGGCCAACCTTCTGAAGCATCCTAGACAAATACATGGATAGAGAACAATGCTGCCGGTAGTTAAAACAATGGTCCCCTGAATCACTTACTTTTAGGTGAAATCTACCTCTTGACATCCTCCTAGCAGATAGTGACGTTTTGAGCCTCATGATTCACAGTGACATTTGTTGCCTACAAGTGATAAATTTGCAGGTATGGAGTATCATTTTGCAAGCAGAATGACTCAAGAGTCATGAAATTCACTTATTTCCTGCCAGGAATATGACTTCAGGTTTTTCCTTCCTGTCCTTTTCCCCCAGTGCCTAATCCCAATATCTCTGCAGCAATCTAGATCCCTGGACAAACAGGTCCGGGCAGGGAAGAGGAAGTGATGTTAATTGGGGTTGTAGGACAAGTTCTAAACACTCCTTGTGGGTGAGAATGGGTTTCTGAGACTGGAGGCTGGTTTTTTGCTGCCCTTCTGAGTTGTATTTACTCCACCCCTTCAGTCATACCATCAGGCAGTCCATTGGGCTTAACTAGGTTTAAATTTAAAGGGGATACTCTGACAGGATGATCCAGGCGAGAAGGCATCAATGAGAGGGATCTACAGCTGTCTCAATCTTTTATTCTCTTGAGTTCCCACTTATTATCTATTCCAGCTTCCCACTTTCTCCCTCCCTGACTGGTTTGGAAAGGCAGGGGTTACCACCTCAGTTAGCCTCTGGTGGTGGTGGTAGTGGGGCTGCCAACCTGGTTGGTGTGTGGAAAATTCTCTTTTCCTCTTTGTTCAGATGAGGTAAAGTAAGGTGCCACACCACCGTCTTACCTACCCCATCTCCCCTCAAACACTTTGTGGCATACTTAGCCTGCATTCTAGGCAAAGGCATGGAAATGCCTCATCGCTTGTTTCTGGGCATGCATTATGAAGAAACCCTTCTTCCTCCCCCCTCCCCTCCATTTGAGAGGATTCACAATATATTCTGCCTATTTTCTTTTTTTGGCTAGGCAATGGGGTTAAGTGACTTGCCCAGGGTCATGTAGCTAGTAAGTGTCAAGTGTCTGAGGCTAGATTTGAACTCAGGTCCTCCTGACTTCGGGTCAGGAGGTGGTGCTCTATCCACTGTGCCACCTAGCTGCTCCTATTCTGCCTATTTTCAATTCAACGTAAGGAGATTTAAGGAACTACTCCACTCCCTACCACTGATCATGAGTGATGGAAATGGCTTGAAGAAGCATCATCTGATTGAGGAGCCAGAAGGATCGATAATGTAGGAATGGCTGAAAATATGAAAGTTTCTAACAGATGATCTCATTCTCGCTTGAGCTGCTGCATGGAAGATGGGTAGTGGCAAGCTGCATTTCCCACCACTGGGCTGCCATGTACACATGAAAGAATGATGGCTACTTCTTTTGTGTTTATTCTTTTCTTATTTTGGATGAATGAATATCCTAAGATGGGAGCATTAAGGTAACTGGTGACACTGAAAGAGTCATCAAATAAGAGGAGTCCTGGAGCTGTTGGTGGCAGGAACTAAGTCCAGGGAGAGGAGCAGTGCAGAATATGAGTGACCTGCTTGACCCAGCCAGTGTCAATCAAAACACCACATTTTGGAAGGAACCAGTCCAGCTTAAGTAAGAGAGCAGCTTTCTGATTCCTGATGCCTCTCTTTGAAATGAACTTGGTTAGGACTGCAGAGAGAAAAGGACTCCCAGGGTCTGGATTTGTGAGGCATTGCTTAGCCATGAGTGTTTGCTATGTGAGCCTTGTTACCTTTGTATCTTAAGTTAGTTTTTTGCAGGTGTGTGTGTGTGTGTGTGTGTGTGTGAGAGAGAGAGAGAGACAGACAGACAGACAGACAGACAGACAGACAGAGACAGAGAGAGACAGAGAAAAAGTCCCTAGACCCCATGGGGGAGTTCATTGTTCTTTCTCTCAGTAAATACCTTTTTTTCTTTCTTTTTTATTTTCCCACATAATAGTATTTTATTTTTTCCTTTCTTTCTTTTTTTTGGTTAGGCAATGGGGTTAAGTGACTTGCCCAGGGTCACACAGCTGGTAAGTGTTATGTGTCTGAGGTTGGATTTGAACTCAGATCTTCCTGAATCCAGGGCCAGTACTCTATCCACTGCACCACCTACCTGTCCCTATTTTTTCCAATAACATGTAAAGATAGTTTTCAACGTTTGCTTTCATAAGATCTTGAGTTCCAATTTTTTTCTCTCTCCCTCCCCTTTTCTCTCCCCAAGACACCAAGTAATCTGAAATAGGCTATACATGTATATTCATATTAAACATATTTCCACATTAGTCGTATTGTGAAAGAAGAATCAGAACAAAAGGGGAAAACCACGAGAAAGAAAAAGCAAATAAACAAAAGAAAATAGTATGTTTCGATCTGCATTCAGACTCCATAGTTCTTTCTCTGGATGTTAATAGCATTTTCCATCATGAGTCTTTTGGAATTGTCTTAGATTACTGTATTGCTAAGAAGAGCTAAGTCATTAACAGTTGGGCATTGTACATTATTGCTGTTACTTTGTACATTGTTCTCCTAGTTCTGCTCACTTTTCTTTGCATCAGTTCACATAAGTCTTTCTAGGTTTTTCTGAAATCTGCTTGCTCATCATTTCTTATAGCACTATGGTATTCCATCACAGTCATATAGCAGGATTTGTTTAGCTATTCCCCAATGGATGAGTATCCCCTCAATTTCCAATTCTTTGCCACCACAAAAAGAGCTGCTATAAATATTTTTGTACATGTGTGTCCTTTCCCCTTTTTTATGATCTCTTTGTGATACAGACCTAGTAGTGGCATTGCTGGATCCAAGGGGTATACACAGTTTTATAGCCCTTTGGGCATAGTTCCAAATTGCTCTCCAGAATGGTCGGATCAGTTCACAACTCCATCAACAATGCATTAGCGTTCCAATTTTCACACATCTTCTAGTAAATACATTTTTTTTGTAAAAGCAATTGATGTCAATTGATTGATTAAAATCTGGGAGAGCACAGTGGATGGAGGCTCTGGAGCAATAGGTTAGAAACTGCAGTCCCTCAGTATTACTTAATGCTAGAAGCTCGATGGCAAAAGTAGTCAACTGCCCTTTGGGGACCTAGCCTGCCAGTATGAATTAGGGAAACATTCAGAGTGGGATGCTACATTAGGAAACTACAGGATGTAAAACAAAAGGCATAGAAAGGAATATGTTTACAGAGTGCAAATTTCTGATTCTGGCTTTAGTTTAAAACATCTGGGCAAAGATTACAAAGCTGACAGGTCCACAACTTACCTCTCTTGGCCCGAATGAGCCATGTCCTTACCTGCTTTTCTTAGCCCAACAGTGTCTCAGTAAAGATACTACTCTGCTAATGATCTGGTGCTGGGGCTGAGAATGGGACTTAGAGTTAGTGTCATGGTTCCCATTTTTATTAGCTTCCATTCTTATCACAGCCTGGCTTCTTTGTATATTTGATCTGATCTCTCTCAGGATAAGGATTTGTTGGACAGCCTGTCCTAGGCTAGCCCAAATTCTTGGCATTCAAAAACCCCGGTCCTCACGTTGGACTAGGACCAGGCTTTCTTAGACTTCTTTGCAATGCTGCCCCCTGTTGGGAGCAAAGCTAAGGGCAAAAGGTTTCCAGGATACCAGTATCAGAGGATAAGCAAACAGGAGGAAAAGATTGGAGAAAAACCATGTTGGGATACAAGAGATAAGATGATGTCCTGTAAGGTTTGGTTTCCCTGGAAGATCCATAGCAACCAGTTACCAGGACCGTGAAAAGAGAAGAACCCATATCATTTTAAATTAGGTTGCAATTTACTTCTATTGAGTAACTGGGATAGACCAATAAGGGGAATCAGTCTTTCTTGCTAGAACTCAGCATACCTTTAATAGAGATGAGCTTAGAATTCAGAATGGGCACTAGAAGTCTTTGTATTCCCAATAGTGCCGACATACTCAGTAAATGTTTAGTAAATGAATGAATTTCAAAATTAACTTTAGACGTTAGCCTTGCAGGGGTAGCTAGGTGGTGCAGTGGATAGAGCACGGGTTCCTTAGTCAGGAGTCTGAGTTCAAATCTGCCCTCAGACACTTACGAGCTGTATGACCCCAGGCAAGTCACTTAATCCTGATTGCCTCAAAAAAAACTTAGCCTTGCAGACAAATTATATAAATGGGAGACATTAGGAATTATATAGTCCTACACCCTTGTCCTACATCTTAGATGGGGAAACTGTGGCCCAGAAAAGTGAGATTGCTTAATGTAATGTACTATAATGTAGCTGGAGCTCAAACCTTGATTTCCTGACTCCCAGCCTAGATCCATCCACCATTCTGGCTAGGAGTTGGTCTTTTGTGTTGGGCCGCCTTCTTCTCCAGCAAATCACATATTTATGTCTCTTGATCTGCTTGGTGGGGGAGGGGGAGTGAGAAGGAGGGGGAAGAGAAAAGGGGGGAATTAGGGGAAGTGCAGTGATGAGGTATTTTTGCAACCTGTTGGCTCCCCTGGGGTTCCCTCCTCACAGCTGCAGGGTCTGGGGGAGGAGGTGGTTGAGAGAGGGGGAAGATCATTGCCCAGTTTGGACAGCTTTTTTTTTTTTTAAAAGGAGAAGGAGCTATCCTGGGGTGGGGTGGGGGACAAACAAATGAAGCTAGGAGGCAGATGGGTCCAGTGTGAGAGAGAGAGAGGTTGATTGTCAGTGCTGATTGTGGTTGGGCCAGGAGGATGGATTTCACTTGGGGAACTTGTTTGATGGATGGCATGGGATGAGAGAGGAAATTGATCCTCTAGCAGAATCATGCTGATGGATGGGCTTGAGGTAGGGAGTAGTAGGGGTGGGAAGAGGCTGCTGCAAGGGGGCTGCTGGCTGGAATATGTTGTATTGGATTTTAAAAGTCTACTGAGTAGCCTAGAATCAATAGCCAAGGAAGGAAGTGGCTAAGGCAGAGACCAGGCTTGGACAGATGCATATCTATTCTCAGCCTTCCCAGGGAGAAAGGGCCGTTAGGCTATTACAACTGTAATTGATTTGGAGGGGAAAATTAGGGAGTGGTATGGGAGAGAGGGCTAGTGTTCCCCAGGGAAGGAAGAGGGAGAGGGGGGAGAATTGAATCTTGACTGTACTTAGCAGCTTCCATTCCCTGAAACTCATCTCTCATTAGGACTGGTGATTGGTGGTAGTGTGGGGTGGTAGGCATTGGAGGATGCTAAGGCATTGGCAAAAAGTTTAAGAAATGAACTTTGGTAGGATCCAGCTGTTGGTTTCATAGGTGTGGATTAGGGAAGGGGACCCTTAGCTTCAGGAAGAGTAATCGACAGGTAATTTTATATGTTGTATTTAAAAAGGACATGCCCCTGAATTGGAAAATGACAACCTTGTTACTTACTGTCTACCAAATGACAAGGGTCTTCCCTGTAACACGTGCAGTGTTATTTATTACAAAAAAAATATACATACATATCATAGAGAATAGAATTTTCTTCCATCCAAACTGTGTGCATTCAATACTGGTTCCAGATGCATAAGATTAAAATATACTTCTTTCTGTTCTCTTAAGGAATGGTAAACTGTAAGAGCAGAAAGTTCCAGGTGCTGTCCAGCACAGTTGAGACTGTATTAAATGGCAATGGGGAAGATTATTGAGGAATGATTGTTGTGTCAAAATAAAATATATGATAAAATATGCATTTATAAAATGGATACTGTAAAACATCTTTTGTTATACTTCCTTTGCATGTTGTGTCCTATGTGGCAGCCTAGCTTGCCTACCTCCCAGTTCTATCTCTGGCTCTGATTTTAGGGGACCAGCTTGGACCCAAGCAGCTAAGACCAACTCAGATACTTCTTATTTACTTAGCAAATGTTTCAAAAGATCATGAGCTCAGACCAATGTTCAGTTAGGTAGAACAAGGTAAGACATTCAAGTGTGACTGTATCTTCCTGATTTCCCCCATACACAGTCCTAATGGGGCTAGCTTTCTTCCTAAGGTGCTAGGACCAACTGGATATGTATGTTAGAGATTTAAAAGATTTAATTCTGATCAATTCAATGACCAACCAAGTTTGCAGAGGATCCACTTTCTGACAGAGACGGGATGGACTCAGGGTGCAGAAAGTCAAAAAATTTTTTTTTGACATGGCCACTATTTGGATTAGTTTTGCTTGATTATACTTATGTGTTTGAAGGTATTTTCCTCCCTTTCTCTCTTTTTAATTGGGGGGGAGAAGAGATGAGGGAGACATACACACACAGAGACAGAGACAGAGAGGACAGAAAAAGAGAGACAGAGACAGAAGAGAACAGAACAAACTTCCGAAGGAAGCATAAACAGGACAATAACACTGAAAATAACATGTGGGATTTATTATATACTTCAGGAAAAGTAAATATGAAATAGATTCATGGTTTCATGTGCAATCTTATTTTTTAAGATATATGGAAATGTTAGTGCTTAAGTTTTGAATATAAAAATTCTTTTAAAAAAAGAAATGTATTTTGGAGAACAGAATGGAAGCCCCCTCTTTCTTCATTTTCCATTAACCTGGAATCCTAGGAGAAATGGTGAAATAAGTTTTTAATGGACTCTTCATGTCCCTCTCAGTACCCTTCTACCTTCTCCTTTTCAGTACCATGAATAGCTTTTCTCTTCCCCAGTACATGTCCTCTCACTGCTTCCTTCTATCCCACCAACACATATGACCAAGGATGTGCTAGAGCTAGCTCTAACCGCTCCCAGTTGATGGTTAAATTTTCAGTATGATCATTTACAGGGAAATCTGACAAACTGCAATTAGGGTTTGATTTATTGTTTTATTGATTGTCTAGACTTAGGAAAGCAAGAAGAAAATATTAATAATGCAGATTAAACTTAAAAGTATTTCTCAGGTATGTGTTTTTATTTTTCCCTTACCAGAGAGCCAGTTGCTAAACATTTTCTAGCATACCCCCCATACTTAGCATACTTAACATTAACACTGTCTTGCTCAATATTTCATTCTGTTAAGGTCTTGCTCAGGAATGGGCTGATCTAATGGACCAATTCCTGCTAGGTTGTTAATGACTGGTAATTGGTTAATGTGGTATAAATGAGATTGATTAGGGCAGCTCCTGATCAATTTGATGACTTTCCTATTCAGTGTGATGAGGTAATAAAGCATGAAACCTTCAATGAAAGGCACCCTTCATGGAAGTAGACATATGCTCTGGCATCTTACTGAAAGGACACAGGGAAGTTCTCTGATTGGCTCCCAGAGACTGAGGCTTCAGTTATAGTCTGGGCCAATGGGTTCATTTAGAAATAGCTGCCCCTTCCCCTACAAAATCAAGCTGTGAAAGATCTTAGGTCCTTGCATGCTTTCATTTGCTAGGACTATGAGATCAGATTGTTCCAAGGGATGAGAGATGATTTCTTCTCCCCGTGTTTCCTAACCAAAGGGTCTTGCCTTTCCATTTTCTTCTATGAGCACAGGTCAGACTAGAAGTCTCAAGAATGCACTTTCCACGTGCTGGAGAGACTGCAATGGTCAAGGTAATGATGAAGTTCCTGCAGTAACATATGGCAGTTGTAGACATGTGCTTGCATAAGACCTAAAAGGTAAGCTAATGAAGATGGGCTTTCCCATCCTTGGGCTGGGTAATCCCAATTGTAAGTGTTACCAAGAGATCCAGAGTTTCTGATTTTTATCATTCAGGCACTGACCTCCTAGGGTGAAATTTATTTAGCAGCATGCTTCTCGGAAAAGGTAGAAAATTTCTGACAGGATAACTCAAAAGGGTGGAAACCTGCCTTGATGGGTTAAGAGCCCTGGGGTTTGTCAACCCCACTTGTGCCCTGAGTTGTTAAAAAAAAAATTGGAAGTCAGATGTGATGGTGAATTGTTTGCTCAGTAGCCCTCTTCCCCATCTCCCAAAGTGTGTTTACCTTTTGGAGAGTTTAACAGGCTATTTGAGTGCTTTCTGTTTCTATTATTTTTCCTGTGGGTATTTTGTGTCTTATGCATTTTCTGTGGAGGGTGAAATAACGGCAGCCATATCTACAATACTAATACACTGAGTGCCTATGTGGGAATTGGGAACCTTGTTACCCATATTTGGGAGAATCCAGATATGTCATACCTAAGCTTTATTTGGGAGATTTCCCTAGAGAGAAGCTCCAGGGCAGGGGCTCAAGCCAAACAAAGAAACTGACTCTCTTCAGGGTCAGAGAGCCAGAATCAAATTCAATCTGTGTGAGCCAAATCGGGCTCGGGGCAGGAGGAGAGAGAGAGGGGTATCGAAAGTTGGCCATGGATAACAGTAAGTTAGTGGGCAAGGGGGGGAAACAGAGACAAAAAACACTGGGCTGGGAATACAGACACTTGGGCTCCAGTCACAATTCTGTTATTAACCCCAATTGTGGCTTTGGGTAGGTCGCTTCATCTCTTAGGGGCAGAGCTTCTTTGGCAAAAATGAGAATGTCGGATTAGATGATGTCTAAGGTTCCTCCAAGCTCTGAAGTTTGTTGCATTCCTGTGCTCTCCCTCCTCCCACTGGTGTATTTCTGCTTATCCATACTACTTAGCAGTAATTGATGGAGTAATTGTCTCATAAATTCCCATCAAGGGTCTGGAATTGATGTAGGTGGTTAATGAAGATGTGCCTGCTCGCCTAATAATTTCCATCTCTTTAACAGAATTGGCATTTGCATTCCTAGAATGAGAACCATAGAAAAAAAACAAAAACAGGGTTGCTGTTGGATTTCAAAAGATCTAAAAGATTCCTTAGGTTCCAAGGGGCCTTTTCTGATTGCTTCCAATGCAGCAAATCTGTCTGTCTCTGTCTTTGTCTTTCTCTCTGTCTCTCTCTCCCTTCTCCCTCTCCTCCCTCCCCCACTGCTAAATAACACTTGTAAGGGAGTGTATCTGGATAGCATAGAATCTTTGGGAGCCCAAGGGACTTTGTTGATTGAAAGACAGTCCTGACAGTCACTGCACACAAGTCCTGAGTATGAGGCTTAGCACAGGTAATTTCTCTGAGGGCAGCATTTTTTGAAAAGTAAACTGAGAAAAAGCTAAATGACGATGACTATACTTGCTGTGCCTAATCCCTTCCAGGAATAGCACATAGGCTGAGTAGCAGATGCAGCAAGGGCCCTGCTGCAAGGAGATGTGACATTGGGTTTCCCTTCTGGGAGGGTTTCCTTTCAGCTATGGGCTAGACAGACCATACCAGTGTCTGCTAAAAGTAGCTTTCCTTCCCTTCAGCTGAGTTCCCATCCATGCTGCTGGCTTTAGCACATTGCATTTTTCATTCAGATATCCTTAGTGCACACCAAGAGCTGAAGCAAGAGCCGACCCATGAGCATATGAAGAATTGTTGGCTCCAACTCACCTTTACACCCCACTCTTTTCCTTTGCTGTGGAGACAGAGGACTATTTGGGAGCCAGTGCTGGGACCTGACTGTGTATGTACCCACCTATCCGGGCAGCTGCAAGAGACAGAGCAGAAAGCATGCCAATGGGAGAATGTCAACCAGCAATATTTGTTTATGAGTAAAGCGTCTGGCTCGCTCTCCCATGGGTCAAAGAAGCAATAGGAAGAGATAGCAACCAGATTCAAAATAGGGAAGTGGTTTGCTCTGAGAGGCTAAGGGAGGGAATAAGCAATAATCAATCACCTACTATGTGCTAAGCACTGTGGCAAGTTGCCTTACTATTATCATCTCATTTAATCCTCACTATAACTCTGGGAGAGGCAGCTAGATGGCTCAGTGGATAGAGGCCTGAATCTGGAGTCAGGAAGACCTGAGTTCAAATCCAACCATAGATACTTACTAGCTTTGTGACCCTGGACAAGTCACTTAACCTCTTCACCAGGGAAGGAAATGGTAAACTTCTCCAGTACCTTTGCCAAGGCAAACCATGGACAATACTGGCATTCTATGGTCCACAGAGGCATAAAGAGTTGGCCACAACTGAAGAATAACAGCACAACTCTGGGAGATAGATGCTATTATTATCCATTTTACAGTTGAGGAAACTGAGGCAGACAGAGGTTAAGTGATTTCTTAGGGTCACATAGCTACTAAGTGAATCTGGATTTGAACACAAGTCTCCCTGACTCCAGGTCCAACATTCTATCCACTTTGATACTTAGCTTCAGGAGTTTAGAGGTGACTTGTTCATGGTGACCAGCTATTTAGTGGCAAAGTCAGATCTCCTAGTTCAATCTTCTTCCTATCATACCATGATGTCTCTGAAAACAAATGATTCATTCTCATATTCTCCAACCTAATGTCTTATTATCCCCCTACCCAGGCTCTTTGTCTCTGCTAAAATAAGCTGCTCTCTATCTTTCACACATGAATTGCTTATTCTCACCTTCCAAACCTTTTCACAAGGACCATGACTCATTTTAAGTGGTCCTATTTCTTTCTCTGTTTCCCTTCTTCATTCCCTCCTTCACAATGTGGCTCAAAAATCAAAGAAAGGGGAAAAAATTCTGCGTTCAAAAAATATGTTTTGTAGTTGTTTTGTGGTACATAGCACTAGAAATTGGGGGGGGGTTGCCATTAATTAGGAAATGGTTAAATGAATTATGGTATAGGAATGTAATGGAATACTATTGTGCTGTAAGAAGTGAAGAAAGGGATTGCTTCTGAGAAACCTGGGAAGACTTATTTGAACTGTTGCAGAGTGAAATGAGTAGAACCAGGAAAACAGTTTGTAATATAGCAAAAATGTTGTAAAAACCATCTAGAAAAAACTTTATTGTGAACTCTCATCAGTTCAACCATGATTACAGAAGACTGGTGAAGAATGCTACCCACAGCTTGACAGAAAGGTAATGAACTAAATATGCGGAATGAGATACCCATTTTGAGACATGGTCAATATGAGAATTTGTTGCTTGATTGTGTATGCACAAATTTAGGGAATCCACCCTAAATATGGACTACTCGTGTCCAACTTGCGGTAGAGCATCCCAAGCCAGTATTGGTCTGATCAGCCACAGTCAGACAATTACAATGGTCCTCTTCAGGAAAAGGAAGGACAACACCCAATCAGCTCTGAGCCCTAACCCTTATCTACACATAAGCCAAAGAAAGCTCTTTTCCTAAAGGCTTTCACTCTAATCTCTTAAACTTCCCATTTCATTGGTCAGTCAGGCAGTCAACTAGTATTTATTAAGTGCCGGTTTTGTACCAGGCACTGTGCTAAGCACTACAAAGCAAAATCAAAAACAAAACAGTACCTACTGTCAAGGAGTTTACAGTCTTATGGGGGAAATAACCTGCAAACAACTAGGTACGAACAAGGTATATTCAGGATAAGTAAGGAGGGTTGGGAAAACCTTCTTGCAGAAGGTAATGCAGCTACAATCATATCAGGCTGAAGGAAGCCCAGGAAGCTAGGAGGTGGAGATAAGAAGGAAGAACATTCCAGGCTGGCTATACAATTTATTATCAGTGTAACAAACAACAGAAAGACATTTAAATATTTCAACAATGATTAGCTATGAGAAAGATTACAGAGTCCCTTCTTCTGACCATTATCTGCAAATGCTGATTTTTACCACAGAACCTAGAAATATAGGTCTCTCAGAAAAATTATTCAAGTTTCTTATCTCATATCTCCCCAGAAAATGAATTAAATGAAGTTGTCTCCCAGTGTCTCTTCAGATTACGTCTCCTTGACAGTTAGCTCATTCGATCTCTCAGGAGAGAAGTTTGCTCAGCTCTTTCTCTTTTCCTCACATAGTCTTCTCTCCAGCCATGACAGTTAACTCTCTCTGGATGGATGACAGTTAAATTATGCTTCTGAAATGTTATTCTGTTTCTTAAAGACACAGCTAAAATGTTGCATGGTCAAATCAGGACCCCATAGTCCCTGTGAGAGGGGCTTTTGAAGCTGATATTTTATATTATTAAAAGGACTAACCATTTAGAAAGGGAAATGGTGATCACCAAGCCAGCATGGCTTCGTCAAAATGGCTCATGTCAGACTAACCTAATTTTCTTTCATGACAAAGTTTCTATACTAGTAGATCAGACAGTTCCAAAGACTCAGTGTGTGTGTGTGTGTGTATGTATTTTATATATATACATATATATATATGTATATATATACATATATATATAAAGAGTGTGTGTATATGTATATATAAATAGTGTATATGTATATATAAAGAGAGTGTGTGTATATGTATATATAAATAGAGTATGTGTGTATATGTATATATAAATAGAGTATGTGTGTATATGTATATATAACATGCATATTTCAACAAAGCATGTGACAAAGTCTCATGCTATCCTTGTGAACAAGCTAGAAGCATAATACAAATCAGCATATGATATATACAGGAGGCAGATAATGGATAAATCGCTTCTAGCTGAAGGAGTCAGGGAGCATTCATAGAGGAGGTTGCATTGAGGTTGTCCTTAAAGCAAAGGTGGGATGTCACAGAATCTCTGAGCTGAACAGGACTTTAGAAGCCACTTAATCCAATCCACCTTCTACAACATCTGCATAAGCAGTCATCCATCCCCTTTATTTAATAATAGTACAGTCTGGTGACTCCATAGTTATTTGGATGATTGATCTAAAGAGTAGT